TGATTCTTCTTTTTGTGGCCATAGTTTCTTATTGATCCTTATTCGTTTGTTTCCATTACAGTAGTTATTTATCAGCTTCTGTCAATCTTTTAAATATGTTTCTCCAGTCTTTATTGGGAGCATCCAGAATACAAAATTAAGTTTAGGACTAATCTTCATTTCACATAATGCTATTCTACCAAACCATGACAATTTAAATTTTTGATACTGATTTATCTGTTCATTAATTTATTTCTTCAATTTATCCATATTTAATTTAATCATTTCTTGTAAATTCCATGTGATATAGATTCCTGAGTATTTAAATAGATTTTCTATTTTTCCTTTAAATTCTTTTTTCAATCCCTTCTTATCTACTTCAGAATAATTTAATAAAATACATTTGGATTTCTCCCAAGTCACTTTCAAGCCAGTTATTTCTTCAAATAAATGGAAATGTGTTCTGATTTTCTGCAACGTATCTTTCAGATTTTTAATTGTTATTAATAATTTGTCATCTGCAAAGAGATTTAGTTTATCCTCCTCTCTTCTATCTGCACCTTTAATTGAACGATCATTTCTGATTACTTGTGCCAGCACTCCTATTACAAATGTGAATAGGATTGTATCATTCCTTGGCCTAGGAATATTGATTCAGTTGTACCATTGTTTATTATAATTTTTGCAGAGTTCTGTGAGTATAGTTGTTCAATTATTTGTCTAAACTGAGCGCCAAGTCTAATCTGTTTAATCAAGAGTTTTAATACATCCCATTCAACTGAATCAAAGGCCTTGAAAATGTCTAGAAATACCACTCCTACTTTACATTTTGATTCTTTTGCCAAGCGCATTAAATTGAAGGTTTGTCTTTAACATTAAATGCATAGCTATAAACATCAGCTTTGCAATGTTTGGCAGTAAGTCACCAAGGAAGTATGTTATCCCTTTGAATGTCAGAACCAAAGAGCACACACACTGTCCTGCAGAAGGTCTTTGGGCCAGCCAGCTAATCTTGTTTCTGCTTGGTTTCCTCAGCAAGGCTTGAATGGTGGCCAGAATCCCACTGGTGATTTACACTTGCATAAGGGTAATAGTATTTGGCAGCAAGTTGTCCTTCATTAAAAAGTTGCTGGTTGCATTCCTGGGCATGTGCCCATTGCTGAAATGCAACTGGGACAATTTGCTACTAAGATTTCCTGGCATTTCCCTTTCATAAGTAAAGATCACCAACAGGATTCTGCTCACTATATTTTGATAGTACAGAAGGTTAGATTTTTTAAAAAATGAAAAAGGAAAGAGTCAGCTCTCTCCTTTCTCATGGTATCATAATGACTATTTGCAAAATGACCCAGATCTATTACAATTACATCTCCAGGTTAAGAGGGGCAGAGTCCAGTTTGACTAGGACTGCCCGTAGGCCTGTGCTTGCTTCTGCTCCCCTGGCCTTAGTCTGAACATGTCAACTGGTAAATGAATTGCTCATTAATTCCACAGGAAGCTCCTATCAGTGGAATTTTCCATTTGAAGACAAGCCTGTGCTCACTAAAAATGTGAAGGAGGGACAAAAGTTTTCAGCCAACAGAAGGACCCTGGTGAGAAAAATATACATTTACTGATGGGTTTTAATTGTTGTTGCATTGTGCTATGTAGTGTATTATCTTACTATGTTTTGCTGAATATCTCATTTTGCATCATCTTTCTTCCTTTGATAGATTGCCCTCAAATTGATTGCAACTTATGGGGACCCTTCCCAGGATTTTCTAGGCATGGAGTACTCAAATGTGATTTACCATTCCTGTCTTCTGGTAATGCTCTGGAACCATATATAACTTGCCCAAGGCTACACAGACTGGCTTTTCCTCCATGAGGCACAGTGGCAAATTGTCCTCCCAACTTGTGACTCTGTAGCCAAGTGCTTCAACTCTGCAAGCTATCTAGCTAGCAATTTAAGAAAAGAGCAAGGAGGAGGGCATGTTGCAGAAGAAGACCAAAGTCTCCTGTGGCTGCCTTTTGCCTAGTGCCCCAATGGGGCAAGACATGGTACTTCGCTGCTGCCAACTACCTCAGTGCCCTATGCAGCCAAAAAAGCCTGCTTTCCGGCTGTCAGCTACCCCAATGGCTCTGCCCCACCCAAAGCCTGTCCGTGTCCGGGTGTCCCCCATGCAAAGAGGGCCTGTCTCAGCCCCACACAAACCCTGTCCAGGTGTCATCCCATCACCCCATAGCCTAGCTTCAGATGGCAGAGCTCATCTGGTTTTCAACCCATGCCAAGGGGGCCGGTCTGTCTAAGCCCCCCCCCCAACCTCCGATGGCCATCTTTATCATATCCGGGCAGTCTCCGCAGCCAAGTTGCAAGCAATCCCCAGCTGTCCAGTTCTAAACAAGCATCTTTGTCTCTCCATTGCCCCATTGCCTGGCTTCAGATTGCAGAGCTGATCTGTTTCCAACAGCCCCACGGCCCTGTGGATTAACCGCTGTTAATAGCACTGACCCTGTTCATCTAATGGTGCAGCTGGTGCTGTTGGAAGTTGCAAACAACCTCAGTTGCCTCCTGGGGGCAAAAACCTTTCCTTTGCAGGCAAATCTGATGTTGCTGAAGAAGACCAGAGTCTGCTCTGCAGCCTTTTGCCACAGTGCCCCGATGGGGCAAGACATGGTACTTTGCTGCTGCCAACTACCTCAGTGCCCGATGCAGCCAAAAAAGCCTGCTTTCCAGCTGCCAACTACCTCAATGCCCAACGGGGCCAAAAGAGCCTGCTTTCCTTCTGCCAACTTCCTCAGTCCCTGATGGAGCCAAAAAGCCTGCTGTGCTGCCAAATACCTCCTTGCCTCCAGACTTACTGAGGGCAAACTGTACTTCACTGGCAAACGTAGTGTGCTGAGCTGAAGACAAACTGAATACCTCATGCATGCCTCTGCCAAAGGGACCTCTCATTCTGCTGGGGCTAAATATATAACTCCCTCAGTGCCATGGGCTTCTGTGCTGTGTGGTAAACTCTCTTGGGGGGGACCTAATTTGTGGGTGAATAACTTGGAGTTCTGATATTCAATCTTCACCAAAGTTGGTAGGCATGTTGGGGAAAGACATAGGAAGCTCCGTTTGATTCTGGAGTCTCTAAGTACCTGGAGGAGCTTTCCTGGGGGTCCTCTTTGTGACTATATAACTCAGGGTTCCATGATCCAATGTTCACCAAACTTTCAGGAGTTGTAGGAAAGCATCTGAGGAAGCTTCCCTGCACATTTGGTGTCTCTAGGCCATCGGGGGCCAATGTTATAGCTGTTAAAATACAAATTGACAGATCGATTCGTCAATTCATCAAAGAATATTTGTATATTTGTATTCATTGATTCGTTAACCTTGACAAATAACGGATCAAAATGAATCGCCATTTTTTTGATTCATTCCCATCTCTACTGTCAACCTACCACATGGTGTTTATTTTATGTCGCATGTCTCTGTGCAATCCAATTTGACCGTCTCACACAAAACTTCAATGTCATCCTGAATACGGCAAAGGCAGCAGGACATCTTCCTGGGCAAGATGCTGTAGAAGAATCAGGAAGACAAACATCTCACCACTTTTGCTCAGTCCTTTCAATGCCTGCTGGCCTCTGAACCCTTCTAGATCAAGAGCAATCCATGCCTCACCACAGTGGTGGGTGGGTGGCGCTCTTGAGTCTGAGGGCCAGCCCTCTCGTTTGTCCTGGTATAGTTCAGTCCCACCCAACTGCCATTATAATTTTCTTCCATGCCTACGTCTTCATGGAGAAACTCCCTTTTCTCTCATTAGATAGTAAGAGAAATGAGAAAAGAATCCTCCTGTATGAATGCCGGTAAGCTGCTCCATGGGGAAACTGACAGCATTAAGAGAAAACGTCCACATCTCGTTTCCTATGTTAAGATTGTACGAAAGCAGGTGGAAAAGGGGGCAAGGGAGGGAGATAAAGTACAGCTAACACCCTTTCCCCCTCGTTCCCCACAATTTTTCTGTCTTTCTTGAAACCCACCCAAAGGAAAAGATCACAGAGCACTTACAGCGTTTTCAGCCGAATGGAGTTATTCAGTATGTCCACCACGACCTTGGGGACAATCTGTGTAGCACCTAAATCACTGAAAAATGACATACAGTCTTTGTTGTATTAATCAGCAGTCAGAAGAGACACAAAAGGATAGTCGACATAGTGCAGAAAGCCTATAGAGGAGAGACGCCGAGAGAGGCCCAGAAGCAGAAGACACGAAACCGGGCCTTCTCGGCGGTGGCTCCTCGCCTCTGGAACAATCTCCCTCCGGCGATTCGCGCGGCCCCCACGCTGGGCACCTTTAAAACCCAATTAAAAACATGGCTGTTTATTCAGGCCTTCCCTCCAGCCAACTCTTGATTTTTTTCTTACTTTTCCTTTTTATCTTTACTGCTGTTCTTGTTTGATTATTATGTATTTGTCTATGTTTTATTATTTGATTTTATATTTGGAAGCCGCCTAGAGTGGTCCGGTGGGCCAGATAGGCGGGGTATAAATTAAATAAATAAATAAATAAATAAATATATTTTACCAGGTGGGATGAAATGGATAACCCTCCTTTGTTTACCTTTCCTAATGTGTCACTTCCTAAAGAAAGAACAGGACACAAGCATGCCAGTATTTGACTACAAGGGAAAGGATTTCTCGCTTCTGGATGACATGTAATGTGTTGCAGAATGGAAAGGCTTTGTTCTGCACCTGGCTTTGAAACACGATGGGACTCCATCCTGTGGTATGCCAAGCACTATTAGCAAGGCTAAATAGAAGAGTCACAAAGGATATGCAGAGTGCATTTTGCAAGCTACTGAGTAGTTACAGCAGATGCCTAGATGTCTAGAATGGGGGGGAACGGTGGTAGAGAATACCTTCAAGTCGAGACTGCAGTGTAAAAATAGATTTAAGCCCTGAGCCTTCTAATTGCAAGTTTAAACCCACGTAGACATCATGCTTCTGACAGGTGTGTGTATGTGTCTTTTGGGACCAAAGGTGTTGGGCTGAACCAGGTAAGTCAGCAGTCACACAAAAGCAGCCTTAGCATACAGTCGTCCCCTGGTTGATTGGTCTAACACCAGCCTCTCCGGGGCAGTGGTAGTGGCGCCAGGGCTCCGTGGGTGGAAAGGCTGCTTTGAAGGGAGGTTAGGCAAGTGTGAAAATACAATCATACAAATTCTATGGATTACAGTTCGCAAAGGTCTTATTGCTGTGGGACAAATAATCACACTTCTAGTAATGAAACCTGACTTTACAGCCTGCACAAACTCAGAGAAAATCCCGCCTTCCCTTTTTAAATTATTTCATGCCAATGGAAACAAGGCTTGCAGGGTTGAAGCCCCGAGCCTTTCTGAGTAGCAGGAACTATCAGATCTGCCACCTTCCACCCTCCCAGCTTCCCTTTCCCTTTGTGCTTAGCTGCAATCCTCATAAGTAACTGGGAATTTGTTATTTTATTTCCCCCGGAACAATATGTCATGCATACTGTTGTAATGCATGCTGTTGGATGGTGTTTGGTCTCGAATGGACAATTAAGGACTGTTCTTCATTTGTTGAAATAGATCAATAAGCTGCCTGCATTTATAACCTTCCCATGGGTGGGGATGGGGGTGAAATTGACCTTGAACTTTGCTTTCTTGGACTACAACTGCAAAAAAGTTAGGATGCTGGGAACTGCCATCCAAAAATGCAATTTTTCCCGATGATTGTACTACACTGACTAGATTTGACATGCCAACCGAAACATCTTCAATGAAAGTAAAAGCAAGTCAGGGTGTCATCTACTTACAGAAACTTCAGTGAGGGAAGTTTATAAAAATAAGGATCGTCAAGAGCAGTCAGGGGATTGTGGTTGAGAATCCTGCAAGGCAAAGGTGGAAATAAGGGAGGGAGAGAAGGAAGCAACTAGTTACCGGATTTCTGGGTAGGTAAGACAACAGTGTAACATGGTACAAGTGGCAAACCAGCCATTTCTATCCCCATTGACTGCCTCAAGGACATCTCCTGTTTCCTTTAGAGCTGGCAATCTTTTTTGCCCTCAAGTGTTACACGGGAGGTGGGTCAGTGTCCACAGGCAGTAGATGGCTTGAACCACTGGGGGTGGACTGGCAAAAGGCCTGTCTGGGGCCAGTGTTCCTCTTACATAAACATGCCGCTAAAGGCTCCCCACCCTGATGTAGAAGCAGTGACTTTTGAGGTATCTGATGGTGATTTAATCCTGTGAGTCTCCTTCTCTGTCCTGCCTCTATGTATGTGTGAATAGGAGAGTTTGGGTAACTCATTACTGAAAGTGTAATGAGGAAGTAACTACTCACATTTCAAAAATAATGTGTAGAAATCGCATCATACATCTTTGGTGTAGCAAATCACATTTTCCATCTGCTATTAACATTATTTTAAAGGGCATTGTAAAAAAATATTATGAGCAGAACTTTTTCCCTTTATGCTATTGCCTTATTAATTCTAAGCCTATTTCTCCAAAGGAAATGAGACACATACCAAGTACATAGCAATTAACTCTTTAGGGGGAGCAACATTAATGGCAACAAATTATTGATGTACGTGTATTACACATTGGCTAAACAAATTCCAACCTCTGGTAAATAACCCATATATCATAAAATGCCAGTCAATATTGAGTAACCTCATTCCAATGAAATTAAGCTCTGAGAAAGCCATTCGGACTCTTTGACATCTTGGCTACTCAGAAAACTGGAATATGAACTTGTAGAAAACTTACAATATACATTCATACAATACTATTCATGTAGCGTTTAATATCAATATAGTTGTTTTCTACACATACCCAAAGCATCAGAAGCAATGATATACACCACATATTCTTAGGCTGCCATTTTAAAACACATTGTTTGGCTGGAATCTCTTTAATTTTTCTTTCGGCATTCTTGATATTATTGTTTGGCTTGATGCTAGAGGCTGTCTACTTGCACTTACATATTTAGCAAAAACTGCATTCCATGCCATGCCTGAAACGCCCCCTCTGTGATCCGGCCTATAGCATTACCACTGAGATTTCTGGGAGGAAAAACAGGATCAGAAATAAGAACTACTGTATTTATACAACATTCTACATTATGTAAAACAAAACACATAGAGACACAGACACTCACAGAGAGAAAATACAGGGGGAAAGGAAAGTACATTTATTTTTTATATCCATGTTAGATAGTGGATATGAAATTGCCATAAAGTATCACTGCAGCAGACTTATTTTTTATTTTGATGGAGCAGTGGGCTGTTTCTAAGGTCCAAGCTAGCTAGTAAAGAGAATGCATGCTTCCTCCAATTAACTGATGTTTCTCTCCCACATTGGGATTTCCTTAAAGAAATTTGCTTTAGCTATCAGGGCAAATGAAACACTGGTTCACCTTCCAATTACCAGTCCCATGTTATGACATATAGACATTTCCCACCACTTGAGGAACCACCTCTTCTAAACTCATGCTAAGTATATGATTCTGTTTTGACTATGGCACACTCATTTGCCAATTCTTCTCTTCATTTAAGCTCTCCTGCATATTTTGAGACATGCCAATGCTCATATCTCTAAAGATTCTCAGCCATCCAGGTGAGGTTATCTGGAAGTTGAGTCATGGCAACTGGACTTCTTTCTTGTTAGGTTGAAATGTTTCACTACTCATCCAAGTAGCTTCTTCTCTCTCCAACTCTCCTCAGATTGAAGAAGCCACTTGGATGAATAGTGAAACCTTTCAACCTAACAAGAAATAAGTCCAGTTGCTGTGACTCAACTTCCAGATACCAGTGCTCATACGTCTGGGAGACAACTTGCTCTTAACTCTAGTGAAGGGGAAGCTTAGGTTAAACCTCTGTAATTCTACTTTCATATAATTTAGATATCAGAAGCAGTTGGGTATATATTTTTTCATTCACAAAGGCTGTATTCTGGTACTGATAATCCCGAGTCTTCATCTAACCTTGGTAGATCCGAATTCAGCCCAGAATTATGTTACAGAGAATGGAATTATACAGGACAAGGTATTTTTGAGCAAAAACGAAGGGTGTTTCCTCCCTTGATGGTGAATAACAAAATCCCTTCTGCAGTTATGAAACACGGCTTCCACAAAGTACAGATCCCCTTTCAGGCATCAACTCTAATATCCCCAGTGGTTTTAGAAATGGGGTGGTATGAGCCTGGAAGCCATCTCCAGGGTGGAATCTTGGCTGAGAACCATTCCATTCTAGCTAAGTATTTTACTGTACTGTACATCTAGCAACTTACATAAACTGCAAAAATGGGACAGGTTCAAATGCATTCTTCTCAATGATGTTGATTTTATTACGCGATAAGTCCCTGTGGAAAATAGCACACAGATTTAAACTTAAAGGCAAGAGAAGTGGTTATTCTCACCTATTCCAGCATATGCTTTTCCTCTTTTTTTAAAAAAACATTACACTGTCCACCTGATTCTTCACCATTGATACAGGACAGCCATTGGAACAACCAAAGTGGCACCATTGGTCAGTTTTTGGGGCCAGCCCTATCATTAGGTAGAGTGTAGCAGAAAGATTCAATTGCCCATCCCTCTGACTTTTTAAAAAAACATGGAATAGGAAGGCGTGCCTTCATGATGGCCATCTTTTTCCTCCCCCAGAAAGCAAAATGTCTTAATCTAGTCCTGTCAGTTCGCTACTGAAGACAACAGACAGGCTTGTTTTGTTGTTAATCCCTGTACCTAACTTGCACCTTGAGCCATTTTTATGACACAATTGCAACAATATTCAATGATATTCCCGTGACAGCAGAACAGAACCCCTTATGTAGATTATTCAGATATCATGACAAGACAGAATTCTGAGTTCTTGAGAATTCTGGCTTACAGTTCCCATGGCTGAGAGATCTGGGGAGATTAAATTTTTCATACTGACTATGGCAATAGTTTCCTGGCAAAGAATTTGATATAATACAGTAGTGCCCCGCATAGCGACGATAATCCGTGCAGCAAAAATCTTCACTATACAGATTTGTCGCTATGCAGGGAAAAAAAGCCCATAGGAATGCATTAAAACCAGTTTAATGCGTTCCTATGGGCAAAAAACTCACATTTAAGTGAAAATCCTCCATACGGCAGCCATTTTCGCTGCCTGGTAAGCAAGGAATCTGGGCGAAAACACAGTGGACGGCCATTTTTTTACCCAGCGGCCATTTTGGAACCACCGATCAGCTATTGGCAAATCATCGCTATGCGAAAATCGGTAAGCAAAACAGCTTACAGATCATTGCAAAATGATATTTTCCCATTAAAAACATTGCAATGCGATCGCAAAAAAATCGTCGCTATGCGGATTCGTCGTTAAATGGGGCACCCGTTAAGCGAGGCACCACTGTAAATTTTTATATAAGACTGGCTGTCTGGGAGAGGTTTTTAAATGCAGTCTTGTGCTTTGCTGCTTTGAATGTATTTTTGGTATTGATTTTGTTTACCATTTTTGGTGTACTATTTGTTTAATTCTTTAAAACTCTTTGTATATTTACTGTTTTTAGCTTTTAAATGTTGCTTTTTAATTATGTAGCTGCCTTGGGTCCTTTTTAAGGAGAAAGGCAGGGTAAAAACAAACAAACAAACAATCCAGTTTTTGCCAGTGAGTTATTCACAGCCTTTTAGTCTTTTGAGATTTTATCAGGCAGGACCCTTACAAGTTTGAGACTAATTAATGAAATAGAAAAGGGAAGGAGAAAGAACAATTATTTTCGATCTGCTCAATCCTAAAGCATATTAGAGCTTCAAAAATCTATGTATGTGTTTGTGTTTGTGTGCATGCATCTCTCTCTCTTTCTCTGTGTGTGTTTCTGTGTTTCTAAGAGGCTATCCAATAGACCATTTAAGAGGCCATCTCAGAAAGAATTCCTCAAATAACATTCTATATTACTATTACATTATTACACTGCAATACATAAAATACATTAAATTATAGTTATATTTGAAATCAAGGCGAGAGATTCAGCAACAAAGTGTAGAGTATCACCACTGCTTGTACAACAATAATAGTTTCTTTCTCCTTATGAACATCAGCCAAACATATAGTATTATTATTTGGTAGAGTCATATAACTATAATTCTGAACAGCCACTTAGATACCTCTGTTCTAATCAGAAAAACTAATAGATGTCATTTCTATGGAAGACTGAGGCTTACAAATATGGTGCTGCATAAAAGAGACACTTACAGGTGTGTAAGTGAAAGTAGTCCATCCAGAGAAGTATTCTTCAGTTTGCTCAATCTGTTACCCTTGAGAATCCTAGAGTGGTAGAGAAAAGACTGAGAAGGTCTCACAGACAAACTTAAAGGCAAGATTTCTTTCTGTCTTAACAGATGGGACATAACCACCATACTATCCTTTTGCAATCATAAACTCCAGATCAGATTGTGGAAAAGTTACTTTTTGTTCTGTAACTTCCAGATGCCCATGTCAATTAGGGGACTCCTAGAATTGTAGTCCAAAAAAGTAATTCCCACCACCATCAAGCTTTGTTTCAGTCCAGCTGCATGTGCAAACAGTAGCCCCAAATAGAGATACGTCTTTTGATTCCACGTGAGAAGATACTTGTCTCAGCATGATATTGGCCCAAATCTGTCTGATGATGGGATCAGGGAAGGAATAATTTCTTCCACATCATGAACACAAGAAGGAAGTGCTTATGTGTTGGGATCTCTAGTGGTGGGCTGAGCTGACATTACCTTTATACATAAACACAAACATGCCCATTGAGATGTTTTATGTTTAGTCTCTATGCTTTGAAAAGTTGCACTACTCTTCTTATTAAAGCTAGATATAGGGACTTCCTGTGTAATTTGGAAGAGAAACTAGCATAATCACTTCCAAACTATGTAGAACTTCAGATTTAGTCAAATGTATCCTCATTAATTTGCAAAGCTCTAAAGGCACTCAAGAATGCCCTCAGCTATATATTCAATTAATGTGCAAAACAGCTAAACTGTCCCAGACAGTGTATACTTTAATCTAGACAGCTCATATCTTGAACAGATTATTCGCATCGTCAATAACATTTAGAAAATAAAAACAAATTCCCTGAGATTTAGGGAAACTGCCCAGACCTAGACACTACATGCTATAGAATCCAAACATGAGTGAATACTCACAGGTACTCAGCCCAAGGGTAGGCTCTCCACACATCTTTTCCAATGGAAGAAATGGCATTATCAGTGAAGTCCCTGGGGAGACAAATAGAGAGGAGTGATAGAGTTAAAATAGATTATCCTATGCAAGAAAACCTTCAAGTAAGCACCCAATGAAACCAGAGTTGTAGTTGTAAATCATGATGGATAAGAGCTCAACATGGAAATCTCTGTGCCTTATAGTTTGGAATAAGTACCTTTTTTGGAATTAAACTTCCAAAATCTACCAAAATTGGTAGATGGAGATTTTGACAATTGTAGGCTGAAAAACAGACATGGGAGCTTCATATTCATATCCCACAGGATATGAAAATAAAGCTTGACACCACAGGTACCATGGTGGTCCCTTCCTGCTCCCCAGAACCTGCTCAGTCCACTCACCAGGCTCCTCACAGTCCGATGGCAGAGATATTGTGCCAATTGCAGATGTACTCCTGCCGGCACTGCCCCACCTCTCCCCACAGCCAACCACTCTGGCATGGAGGCAGGAAGATGAGTCCCCCTTTAGCTGCTGAGCGGTCAGCTGAGGGGAGAGGTGGGGCAGGGCTGGCAGGACTGCGTCCACGACTGGTGTGATGTCACCACTGCTGGACGTGTGCACTTCAAGCAGCTCAGTGAGTGGACTGGGCTGGCTCTGGGGGGGCGAGAATGGACCGCCGTGGCAGCTGTGTGCTGAGCTTTGTATTCGTATCCTGCAGGATACGAATACAAAGCTCCCATGTCTACTGAAAAAGCAACTTTTCCATGCTTTGCTGTGGTCACCTCTCCAAGAAGAGTTTTTTGAAAAGAAGATATTTGAGTGGACCCATATCAAATATCAATAGAAGAGTTCTAACAGTTTTCCTTTCCACCAGCTGGTCATTTATAAAGCTAATGGTTCCTAATCGCTAGTACAAGACCAAACTAAACCAAATTACCTGGCATAGCAACAAAGATTATTGCTGGAAAAAGTTATTCCACATCCCCACTACTGTCAGCATTGCGGGAAAGTTCAGAGGAGAGTTCGAGGGAATAGCAGATTGTATCATGATTGATACAATCTGTGTCACTCATCCCAATGTGCTCCTGTTTTACATTTCTTTGACCCACGGGAAGCAGTTCATTTCTAGAGGTGCCGTGGTTGAACCCTCCACAAACCGTTGTCTTCTGAACTCGGAAATCCTGCTCACATATTCTTAGGTTTGTGAGGACAAGATGAAGTTGTTTTAGAAGAAAGGGATTCCGTGCATGCTGAAGCCTTTCATTTTCCATATTGCCTTCAAAATCAGATCATAAGAAGGAGCTGATGCTGTTAATCCAGACCACTTCTGCTAAATTCCTTCGTCTCCCTCTGATCCCATCTCTTCTTCATTTAAAAGATAAAAGATAAAATGCTTTTCCTGGCAGGGTTCCTGTACCATTAACAACTGCACAACAGGCAAAAACCCAGCAGGCAGAGCTTTCCGGCTTGGGTTTGAAAGATCCAAACTGTTACATTTGTTAAAAGCAAAGAAGTCCTATGGGGAGGCAGGATGGGGACAAAGCAAACCTACTAACAGAGTATAAGGAAAGCATGCCATCCCAGAGTAGGTTCATTTAAAAATACAGTATCCGTCAAAACAATTGGTAGGTGGAAGAAACCTACTCACAAGAAAGAACCATGCACCACTGGATTAGCCCACAGAATGGTTGTGGACACATCTGTGTCACACAAGAGTCCTAGAAGTGTAACCCTAGGATGAAGGTTGCCATATTCCTCTGTGCTAGGAGGCACAGGATAGTTCCGGATGAACACAGAGCAGAACTCATTGGGCTTTTCCCCACCTCAGTAGGGAAGGATGTTTTGATATCATGGAGGATTTGGGAACATGTTCTCTCTCTCTCTTTCTCTTTTGGAAACCTGGCCGTGCCAGAAACAAGCTGAGAATCTCAACTGGTGCAATGCTTTGAATGCCATGGCTTTATGAAGTGTATGGTGAGTGTATGAGTGTATGGTGTCTGGCAGAGGAAGACAATTTCTTAAAGGTAAATAGAGTGGAGGAGTTCATTTTCATAGCCCCCAATAGGTATGTTCCACAGCAGAAGACTTCAAAATTTAGGCGGTTCTGTTCAGCCATATCAACAAATCCGTTCCAGCAGTTTCACGGCCAGCAGGAGTATTTTGTAAAACAAATGGGTCTTAGTTATCTATTCAGCATCAAGTCACCCTCAAAAGTTCAAAGAGTCATGACATTTGGTTGCAAAACAAACAAACAAACAAACAAACAAACAAACAAACAAACAAAACCCAATTCATTTCCCCCCTGCTCTTGTGAGAGTCTACCAAGATCTGGTGACTTGTATTAAGTTGAGTAAATATTCTCTAAAGATAGATCTACATGCACTATAGGTTTTGACATATACGAAACAGATTTTCTTCTAGAATCCTTCCAGGTACCCAGGAATGAAATCTCTTCCTCTGTCTATCTCACTGTATATTTCATAACAAAAAGCCATATTCCCAGTGACATTTTATCTTTGGAGTGCTGGGAATGTGGTGACTGGAGCCCAGATACTTAATAATAATTATGTGCCATCAAGTTGGTTTTAACTCATGATAACCCTTCCTTAAAGAATTTAAACATGCTTTACCAGCTGGTGGTGCTCTGGGACTGTGCAAGATGCCTAATGCATGTGCAGATGGCAGTGCATGTAACAAGCTCTGGATGATCTTGGCTAATTTCTCTTCCAGGAGGCACAGTGAAGATTCAAGCTCTGCCCCCCTGGCCCCACAACTAGGCACTTCAACCTACTGAGCTATCCTCCTCCCAGATACTTACAAGAAGAAAAAAACACGGGGATGTCCATAAGGTTTGGGAAATGGCACACGGTGGAGTCCAGGGGGGTTGGTGGTCCTGCTGCAGTTGAGGATTTCCAAGGTACAATGGCATGGGATTGGGCAAGGCTCTGTGGCTGCCTCCAACCTTCCAAAGGACACCAGTGTAATCACAAGGAACAGATCTATATTAGAGGGAGCAACAGGGCACATGCTGTAGAGCAGATTCAAGGCCCCACTGCCCCTCTTGCCCTCTTGACGCCCGTAGAGGACGTCTTGGCAAATGGCAAATGGCAGCCAACACTAGTGCAGACTCCATGCAGGTACTAAGCAACCAGGGCCACATGAAGTTACCAGACAACCACAGGCTGCACTGTCGCATCACCATTTCATTCCGCTCAGTTGTGACATCATCTTAGACTCACTCCTTGGCCTTGCACCACAGAATTTCTGTAAGCAGTGTAACTATGTAATTCTATAGCTGTAGACCCAGTTTCATAGCCAGCGGGGAGATGTGGTTAACACGTCAGGCTTAAAACAATATCCATACTTTTGAGGTTGGTTGTGATATATAATGATCTGAATCATAATGACTAGAGTGATGGTAGATTATTAAGTAATAGCTTATTACTTAGCCTTAATTAAAGAATGTGGAAAAGAAGAAGATAGCCATTTCCTTTTTAAAAATGTTTGCACAAAGCCATGTATAATTGGGTCTCTATATAAAGAAGGCTCACATTTTTTTCCTGACAGGAATAAATTGCTGCCTTTAATGAAAGAAACACAGGTGATACTTTACAAATTTAATAAATTTATTATTAAACAATATAAAAAACTAAAACCTCTGGGCAAAAAAAATTCCTTCTTAAATGTAGTTAGGCAATTATAGTTCACTCATCTGATAGATGTTGCTTCATAAAAATGTCATCCCAATCAAAACATTTTCTAACTGTTATAATGTGCTTTGGGCGAGGAAAGGTGTCCTTCTGGATCACAGAGAGTGAAAACCAGGACAGTTGTCAAATAAGAGTCCAAACGTCTCCTTCTTCATCCATGTTAAAATCTGACAGAATCTCCTCTCTCCCCTGGGAAGAAAAAGGAGGGCTGGTTGGTTACTTTGCAAAAGGTGGCAAACCGTGACATCAGTTCCTCTCTGTGTAGGGTGTTTTACAGTAAAGCTCAGAGCAAGGCCCCTGCTTGCTGATTTCCTCCTCTGTGCTGAGGTCATACCACTACTGTACCTTAAAGGAGAGGGCAAAGGAATGCTAATAAACATGGCATCTTCGCTTCCTCACTTGCTAAGTTGGCAGGTAAATGAGATGTAGGGATAAGGGGATCCGGTCCTGATTGATCCTTGGCTTTCCAGTGGAGGCATCGACCTTTGCAAGTGCCAAAGGATGCCAACCCCAGACAACAACACTGAATGGACATTACGTACAAAGCTATGTTTTGGAGGACTTCCACCCTCCACCCAGTGTGACCATACATTGTTGGGCTTGCATGTTACAACCATACCCCATGGGAGCCAGAAGTTTAAAGCCCTTGGAAAGAGCTTGGAATTCAGCACAGAGCTTTAGAAACCAGGTTCAGTGTAATTGACAGCATGTTCCTTGCCATGGCTACTTCAAAGTAAGGCCAAATGCGAGCCAAGGGACCAATTCCCAGGTAAGCGTGGACAGGATTGTAGCCTAAATAAACCACAGAAAATGGAAAACAAGAGCAATTCATGCTGGTAAATACCTTCCTGTTAAAGGCAGCTGCTTCAAAGTGGGCTCCCCATAATTACCACCAAGGCATCTGCTGTTGTTGACTTTGGATACAAACAGGATGAATAGCTACTGTATTTTCCCCAAAGATGCTTGCTCAGCTGCCACTTGGTAATGTTGATTGGGATGATGGGGTGGAAATCAAAGCTTGTTTATTAAATCAAAATGTGTGAGAGCACTAATTGAAACATCTCTTCAAGATGGCACCCAATCTGGTTCTTTTCTGCTCCAGTTTTTATGGATGCACTGCAGCTTCGAGCAGTACAGAACTCCCCTTTTTCCAACATCAGTTGTATGCAGCCCTTCCCTACCTCCCTTTGCTTCTCCTTTATGGTGCTTGTGTCTTCGAACTTTTTTCCTCATTCATGCTTCCATGTGTACATGTGGAGGACCGACTCCTTGTTTTCACCTGTACTTTAAATCACACATCCATAGATACACAGACACCCTTTTCTAAGAATAAAAATGGGGGAGTTGGGATGAGGGCATGATGTAGGACAGTTCTTACCATCACAGATCAGAAGACATGGTGCAACAGTCTCATCCGTCTCTCCCTCTCTCTCACACACACCATGTTTTAGCACAAGACTTGTGCTTGGAAACTCAAAGTGCTAGGAAGTTTTTGTTAGCAATGATACTACCTGTCACCCAACTTTGGCTTTTCTGTTTCTGCTGTAGTTAGTGTTGATTTTCACAGCAACTGGGCCTGAGGGGTGGGGAACAGAGATGAGAATGAATCACTGGTTCGTTTATTGGCTGAATAGATGTTCAGCACTTCAAAGCTATGCCTGTTCTGGCACATGCCCACCTGGCTTCCCTGCTCCGCCTCCTCTGGGCACTGCCTCTGAGTGGGTGGGCCACTGGAAGAAGTGGGGCTTTGAAGCACTGAACACCTGTTCAGCTGACGAACTGGCACAAACTGTCAAACCGACAGTTCGTGCCCATCTCTAATGGAGAGGATGGTGGATTTTCCTAGCAATAATTTATTATTGTGAGCTATTCCAGTTATAATAAAAAAATATTCAACATAGTTCTTTTCTCAACAGACAGAGGCTAGAAATGTTAATTTTTTTTGGACTGGACTTCCAAAGATTGGAAATGACAAAACTCTCTGGGGGATTCTTGTACTCCAAAAAGTAACTTTTCCAAGCACTGTTTATGGGAAGTTATCATCCACTGAGAATTTTACAAAAGACCTGCTGAGATTTTTTAAAAAAACCTGCTAGAAAAGGACTGGAAATAATCTGTTCTTTACATTTAAGGTATTGTTGAAGTCACACGGCTGTCTTAACAGCCTCTTATAAACAGTTCAAAACAAGCCTCACCAGATCATATATGACAAATGGTACAGTATATGATGTTTTAATACTCTTCACATTTTCATGTCACTACTTCTCCACTGAGGGAACCAGCGTGTACTGGATAGGTTTAAGCTCTCCTTAAAAACAGAAGTTTGCAGCCTGGATGATACAGATTCACCCCAGGGCCTGGATACTCAGATTTTGGCAATAACCAGGGAGCGAATTGGGCAGGGATAAGGACTCAAGTTGTGGGACTCGCTGTCAAGTCAGACTCAAGTCCCACCAGTGACTCAACTCAGACTCATTTTTCCCTCACTGACTTGGATTCAACTCGTGCCTCAAGACCCCTCCCCCCCCTCCCCTTTCTCTGGGGGGGGGGCGCGGAAGCTTGTTTTTAATAGGGACTCAGACTTGGGTCTTGGGATATATGTCCTGTATATTGTACAGAGTATCAAGATATTTGTAATGTATCAGCTCACTGTATTGTAAATTAGAGTCCTGAACATATGAGCTGTACTCATGTAAGTAAAGTTTGTAAGAAAGACTGTATAAAAAAATTCAAGCAAACACCTGTTGTTGGTTAACGGGCAGAGTTTGAGGCTTGAGTTTTCTCGGGCAGGTGTTGCTGACTACAGAGTATTTTTCTTAGTATAAAGGAAACTCTGGGAGAGCATTATTCTGCTGTTCTTATTTAGAAGCAGTGATGCTGTTATGTTGTACTGCGTTGTGAGCAAACAGCTATGTATTATATACTGTTATGCTATCATGTTATTCTGAAGCTAAGCTATTTAAGTTACATGTGTAAATACAAAGTATTTTTCTAAACCAAGTTTGGCTTGTCATAAGTTTTGCATCCAGAGTTGAGGAAACAGCATTGAATTTCTGTCAGGCCTCTCTCTCATTCTTTCCAGAGGGCAACATCTATGCTTCTGCAAAGTGCACTGTTTTGGATAGACGCATCAAAAGTTTTTTCATGACACAGAGGTACACACATGTGGTGTGGAGCGTTTGGAGGTTTGCTAGAGGACTAGAGGACATGCTGTTGGAGTATTTCGTGAAGACTGCACATATGTAATATAAGCTATAAAGAGGAAACTGTTGTCTCGAGTTTTTCTTCTTTATGAGGACTTTGGAGGCTGGCTGCACCCCTGCTTTCTCAGCGCACCCCAATAAATACTTGACAGTTTCCAAGTTCTTATTGGAGAGTTTGATTAATTCCTTTTATAGTTAGCAGAGTATTAGGTACAAACAACTGCCCCAGCAGTCTAGGTTGGTGGGTCTCAGCTTTTGGCCTTCCAGATGTTTTGCATTCAAATTGAAGTCCAGGCCAACAGTGGCAAAGGCCAGGAATGCTGGGAACTGAATTCCATAATGTCTGGAAGGTCAAAGTGTGAGAACCATTTATTTTGTTACCACAAATGTCCAGCTTAATGCTTGTAGAATACAAATGCCCAAGGATACAGAACCATTTGAGTTCCAGACCTCCTCAGGCCCTCCCTGCAGCACCAAACTTGTGTTCATGAAGCTCTGTCAACAGAAGGTATTCATGGTGGATAAGTGGAACCTCTGCTTTCAAAGAGAATGTGCTCTTGGGAATAGGGAGCAACAGATGGCTATTGCATTCAAGTCTCGCTTGCCATGTTGTTTTCTGGAATAATCTTACTGGCCACTGTGAAATACCATTTCCAGGGGCAAACATCTCATAATAGGGTGACTTTTTGAAAGCTGTGCAGGCGGAGGTGGGGATGGGGCTGGAGTTCCAGTTTGTTTGCAAACTGAGCCCAGGGAGCCTGAAGCCCTGGCTCTGGGCATAAAAATGTGAAAGATGATTATGCCTGTTGAGTAAGCTGCAAGCAGTCTGCATGTGCTCAGAGGCATGATCAGGGTTTTGACTTATTATTGCAAACAACATTTGGGACATGAGTTGCGCCTTAATGCCTGCTTGCAGTTTAGCTGTGCGGGAATCAGTGGGACGTTGTCGCGACAACCCGAGAGTAAGTTCACAGGCAAAAGGGGGTTTACATTACTTGAGAGTAACTGCTCTGTATACAACACCGCCATTTTCAGCAAGTGAGAGAGGAGGGATGTCTTCTGTCCTTTGTTTTCCAAAATACCTCATGGCAGGGCAGGAAGGACTTGTTCAGTTAGTCCTTCTGGGCCCCTCAAGGGAAAATAAGAGATTCAGGGCAGCCCCGGGTGTTTGCATCTCCTCAAGAGCACCTGCCTTTTGGGACTTGGGGGTTGGAGCAGGCAGGAGGCAAA